GCATTTTTGATTAGGTTAGTCATTTTATGGACTGCTCAGACATTCTAGAATTGGAATCAAAGTTGGAGTCACTTTAATAAAATATATTCTAATTTATACAGTGCATTTTTATGATAATGTTCAAATTGGGTTTTCTGCTATTTTTCGCAAAAGCATTTAAAATATGATTTATTTTCTTCAATAAGTTGAGTATCAAATAGTTTTTTTTGTTTTTGGTGGAACCGGGGATTGAACTGAGGCCCTTGCACTTGCCAAACAAGTGCTTGTTCTACAGAGCTATCTCCCCAGCCTGGGTCAAATAAAATTAATCTAGAATTCTTAATAGCGAATTAGAAAGTAGTGGTTTTTAAAGCTAAATGAAGCGGGGCTGGTGAGATGGCTCGGCTCGGTGGTCTAAAAGCACCTACTTAGAACAAGCTTAGCAAAGCAAAGGGACCCACGGTTCAATCCTCCAGCACCACATGCCAGCCAGCCCCGCCCCCTGGTGGGCTGAGCTGGCCACACACACACACATAAATAAATAAAATTTTTTTAAAAAAGCTAAATGAAGGGCTGGCCAAATAGCTCAGCTGATTAAAGCGCCTGCAAGCAGGCGCAGGGGCCAGGGGTTCAATTCCTGGGCTTGCCCTGCTGGTGCTTCCCCCCCATCCCCCCCACCCCCTGCACGGCATGGTGGCACACGCCTGTAATCCCAACTCTTGGGAGGCTGTAAACAGGCGAATCACTACGAGTCTGATCTAGTAGTGAGACCCTGAACACCCTGTAGACCCTATGAATGTCTTCCTGTGCCCTCTAGCTTGTGAAAAGATATGTCACTTTCCTACTAGAGAAACGTCAGCTTGTCAGAGATTTGAAAGATAGATACCCAGCATTGGTAAGATGTTTGAAAAAATGATATTAGTAATAAGGATTTCAAACTGACCCTTTTGAGAACAATCAGTGGTACTAAAGTTAAAAGTACTTGTTCCATCTAGCTGAGTGAAGTTGGATAACTATAATATCAAATACCATGAAGCCAATAAGAAGAGAGTTAAATGTATTTATTTATTGTTCCATAATGTTAACAGAAAAAATGTGGTTAAATAATAATAATACACACCAGGAGCCCATTTCGGTGAAAAAACAAATACACAACACAGTTTTATAAAATTATTTTCAAAATGTATGTAGCTGATTTGGTTTACAAATAATTTAACCAACTCATTAGTTTTCATGCATTCGACATCAATTTGTCTCTAAAATTTTATTTATCCTTTACCTATTTTTCAAAATAAAGCAACTTATTGTAAAAGATACTTGAAACTGATATAATTGGTGTACAAAATGCAAAACATGACATACTAGAAGGAAAGCAGTAGGATTAGAGTATGCTATGAGGAAGAAAATAGTTGTACCAAATATCCTAAACTCATAAGAGGGTTACACTTCAACAAAGAGCAAAGTTTACTTTTATTTCTGACCACCAAAGGATCAGAAAGAGGGAGCTGGAAAATCTAGCTTTACAAAAAAAACCAAATACATTCTGGATTCAGTGAGAAGAACTGCATTTAATGATGCTGAAGTTTATCTTTCTTATTTTCTTTATATGAAGATTATCCGACAGCAGAATAGTCTCAAAGGTGATTTTCTGGGGAAAAGAAAATGTAAACATTTGGGTAGCATGTGCACTTGAACTGCAGTGTTTGAACTGGCATGTGTAGGTTGATTCTGCTTGGGCGTGGGAAGGCATAACAAAATTTCCTTTTACTCTTTAAAGTGCGTACTTGCTTTGTAAGTGATCTGAAGCGTGGACTCAAAATCCAAGCAGCAAAATTTAATATTGATGGGACTGATGAAGTAAGTAAATAAAAAAAATAAAAGTCTTATCTTCTTTTTCCATAGTTTACGAAATGTAGAAACTGATGCTTATGGTGTTTGTATTTCAGCGTCCTTCACCACCCCCAAATGTTGACTATCCATTAGATGGGGAAAAGATTTTACATGTCCTAGGATCAATCAGGTAAGCCCTAATTTTTTTATGAGCAAAACAGGAAACTAAATTCTTGGCTTTTGAAAATATTTACTTCAGTATTGCTGACTTAACAGTTGAGTGGTTTTCATTTAACTTTCTCATTCATCATGAATTTTGTTCAGCTAAAAGTGTAAAAAATATTTTTTCCTGTTTTTCAGAGTAATTCACAATTAGCTTAACTGATGAAACTAACAATTTTTGAGGTAGAGGAGGAGGTATGATTCTTTAAAACAGAGGTTAGTAAACCAAACATTTTCTGGAAAGAGCCAAACAGTAACAGTCTTAGACATTGAAGTCCGTGTGATTCTTGGCAGCCATGTACTCAAATAGGATCAGCTGGAGACAGCATATAAATGAATGAGTATATCTTTCAATAGGAGTTCATGTATGGAAACAGGTGATGGGCTGGGTTGTATTTGGAGGCTATGCTTTGCTGATTTAAAATTTTGTTTTGAAAACCAAAAACTTTGTCTTGTTAGAAAGTGCATTGATGCCGGGGAGATGGCTCAGTGGAATAAGCGCTTCCCTGGCAAGTGCAAAGCCCTGAGTTCAATCCCCGGTTCCGCAAAAAAAAAAAAAAAAAAA